AAAAAGAAAAAAAAAAAAAAAAAAATTTAAAAATTTCCTCGACTACTAGCTGGCACCTTCTTTCTCACATACAGAAAAAGTTGCAAAGTATGTTGCTGATGCACATAAAAATTCTGAATATTAACAGTGGGGATAAAAAGGATGTTTTCCTGAATAACATTGGAAAAACATACAAGAAATTATCTTGATTTCCAGAAAAGAGTACAAAATCAACAAATCTAGAGTTGCAAGCACATCATTTTATTGTATTTGAACCAGTACAAAATTGACTCAACTAACATTATAATTGCATATACATCAAGCTCAAAGACATTGTAAAAAGAGCAGGATAGATTTTGTGTGTGATTTCTTTCATGTGCTCATTCTAAACCAAATATATTTTTTATAATAATAATAAAGCGACTATATTAAAATATAGCTAGTATATTCAGTGGTAAGGGGACACACTCAAGTTGCGCAATCCCAACCATATGACTTGGTGATTGTCTGCACGCAGCAAGTATGGAAGAATCCTCCAGTTATGTAAGCTACTTGAGACCAAGAGGAGGAATTGCAGCATTGGGATTGGTCTCTTTACCTCCCGAGCAGAGACTTTCTCCTGCTTGAGCTGTGATTCCACATATTACATGCACTGCAGCAAACAAAGCCATTTCTGAAAATTTAATGGTTTCAAAATTGCATCTGGCACTTCTCCCCAGCAGACTGTTGCTCCATCTATAGTGAGGCCACAAGAAAAAACACTTCCAGATGAGATCAACACGAAGGCTTGTAGACCCCTCTATTGTCGTAGCTTCGTATTGCACACGCATGGCTTGCACCACTGCTTATGACTATATAGCTAACATTTAAAAAACGTTTCGAGATTGCCCCATCATATTGGGAAACGATTGCCATTCCAGACCACATACAAATTTCCCTCCAGATGATATGGCAGCGAGGTCCCATGTAGGAAGCCACGAAAAAATTCGCTTTTTGATCGTCACATGAGATGGAACTACTTTGTAGGCGTGAGCAAAGTGGAGAAACTACTTGACGGCTGCTGCTCAACGCTAATCATCACCGGCGACTTCAAGGCCAACGAGGTGTAGAGGCGACCGGCAAGCGGCGAAAGTGTCTGGCAGTGAAGTTGAGGAGCTGCCAGATCCTCCGCCACCGCAGGAGCCGGAGCAACCCACGGCGCCGCCCGAGCCGGAGCCAGCCCGTGCCGCCCAATTCCGCAACTAGTTGCTTGTTTTGGGGTTCTCCGGGAATTCAAACGGGTGTCATGGTTCTAGCTCATAAAGTACAGAAATAGCTGAGAGTCCACACAATTGATGAATAAAGATGAAAAGCATTCAACATACAAAATAAAATTTAAGAGCAGCGACTCTGCCAAAGTCCTTCTGTTAGTTTTGATTTTTCTCTTTTCTTATACAAGAACGAAGTTTGAAAGTGCATCCATATGACAGAGTCGGTTCTTGGATTTATTGTCTCCTTCGGCCACTGTGGCCAAGCGGCTTCAGGTCGGTATGGGTTGCCATGAATGCATCAGCAATTAGGCGAATATCCGTATGGATATGCATGAGTTTTAAGTATCATAACTTCCATGTCAGGCCAAAGACATGTAGGTGCAAGTTGTTGTGACAAGAACTCGACAGTCTCTGGCCTTCCTCCTCATGCGAGGTAGCAGCAACGCACTGGACGATCAAACGCTCGTATTTCGCTGCATCGTCTCGAGGTGATCCCCTTGCAGACAATGCGAATCACGACCAATGTCCGGGGGCGGTGCTCCTTGTTTCCTGATTTCAGATCTAAAAGGAGCTATGAAGAGGCTTCTTTCTTTATACATGCTTGACCATCGTCTTTCGCTAAAGCTGCTGCCATCTTTGATCTTTTGTATATTCATTAAAGAAAATCCAAGAAATCACAGGCAATGCTGATTTTGGAACCGGGACAGCCACTCACAGAACCTGGAAATCACCCTCGGCTACTTTGATCATCACAGCCTTCTAAAAGCAAGATCACTGGGTTTGTCCGCAGTGCACACACGGGCATTGTGGTGGAAAAACGCGACAAGACAGTGAGGATGTGCAATCTTGAAAGAAGAAAGAGGATGAATTAAGCTCAAGACTCTAAAAAGAAAGTCAGAGAGTGAGCCACTCAGTTTTTATTTGAAGCTGGCCGCCATAGATCTATAGCGGCACGCATACACATCCACACATTATCCATTTTACAGGTTGCCAAACGTGACTGTAGACTTGGGACACATCTTGGTGCAGCCATAGCCATTCTTCTCACAGCAGTAGTGCTCCACACCATTCTCGCACATCCACGTGCAGCCATATCCATTCTTGAGGCAGCATGAGTAGTTCTTGGATGAGTCGCAATTTTGCATGCACCCATAGCCGTTCTTGAGGCAACAATAAGTGTCGCCCAGAACACTTGTTAGTCCTGCACAAAAAAAGACATAAAAATAAATAACAAGAAAAATCTCATCATGGGTGAATGCAGCACCTAGGCCTTCGTTTCCCAGGATAGTAGCCAAATATCGTGGATCATGCATAACATCCACCCCTTCCAAAACCACCGTTGCTATGGACACAAGACTGATATTTAGCTGAAACATTATGCAATCAAATCGATACCTTCTTTAGCAGCATTGGCAATTGCGAGCAAAAGCAATGGCAGCAGAAAGATGCAAGAAACTCGAACAAGAGCCATGACTATTGAAGCAAACAGAAATAATAGAAGCAATACTTCATACAAATGCCCTTTGGTGTGGCCAATTTATAGTAGAAGTTGTCATCCCACATGTCTCTCGTGTTATGGATGATGTATGCACATAATTATCTTACAATAGAAAAATGGTAAAAGTCATCAAAGATCTTAATTTTTTTTGGTACTTAAAGAAACTAGTTTAAAAAATTTAAAATGTCTTTCATATAAATATTTATGAGATGATTGTAATATTATTTTGCTCTTTTAGCTTCACTTTGTTATACCACTTCACCTAACAGTGTAATAAAAATACATACATTTAAATAAGGCTTAACAATTGGCATGTATAACCTTTTCTATAGAAACAATATTTAATTTTGTTATCTCCTCATGAATATATATTTTATACCTGCAAATGAAAAAAAAGTATATAAAAACAAAATAAATTATACAAACATCCAAATTTTTGTAAGTATCAAAAGAATTGTTTAATATTACTACTATGAAAGTTACACACAAGTATAAAAATCGTCATAAATATCACTTTTATATATTTTTTAAATAGAATCTAAATATCAGTTGAAATTGATAATAATTATTGTATAATTAAACTTTTTATCTCACATAATATAAATTTAATAATATTATGCATTAACAATATTGATTGAAATTAAGATATGTATTATGATCATAATTCTCAATCATATTTATTTGCTTATGTTGAGAATATAAACAATTTTAAAAAATTATGGAACAAAAATATCAAAAAAATGAAAATTTATATATTTTGAAGAGTAAAAATTAAATATTGAACAAATAATATATTAACTTATTAATTTTTTTACATACTATTATGTTATGGTGTACTATTCCTTCTGAACATTCATATAAAATATATTCATCAAATACTGACATAATTGTTGGTACTTTATAAAAACTATACATAATCTTTGAATGTATGTGAGTTTATAGTATATTCCTGATAAATATGCAAATTTTAAAATTGTTAAATTTTTTAACTTAAATGATAATCCTTTTTATATATTATTTTCTCAATTTGATTAGCTAAGTATTTTATATGTAAACATTAAATAATTTGCTACGTGTCACATGTAGCAATGTTTGGTTTGATTAATAGTAGTGTTATTTCTACTTATTAATCCAATTGATCAAATAAAAATATTATAAACATGTTTATAATTTATAAACACAAGATTAATTTTAACCATTAGATGGTAGAATAAAAAGAATATACTTCAAAGAGTTTAAGCAAGTCTATAAATTATAAACATGTTTATAAATTATAAATAAAATATAAATGTAAATGAATAACAACAGTTAGATGGTAGAATATCCTAGAATATCTAAGCATATTCTAGGAATATTAACTACCATCTCAGCCCCCCTACAGGTTTGCTTAAGCAAACCAAAAATATTTAAGCTTCTCTTATTTCTTATAATACAACTTATTAAATATAATAAAAAATACTATCTAATTAAAGAATAAACATATTTCTTATTAAGTATAGACATAAATAAAAATTTAAATTTAGTCTTGATAAACTGCCTAGTGCTCTAGAATCTGCAAAATAAATAAATATAATTTAACCATAATAAGGTTTTTGATTTATGATACAATTTAACTAATATATTAAATATGGAATAAATATTCTTATTAATTATTTATTAATAATTTCATTTTTACAATTTTATAATGGATTATTTAATTAGTCTTTATTACTTTTATGAGTTCATTCTAACTTTATAAGCATGAACTCATAACTTTATTAATTCAAGGTTTTTATTTATGTTATTTAGAAAAGAAATATGCAAAAGAACATTAGAAAGTACAATGTACTATCCATCAAGAACACTTTCAATCACAATATTTATACTATATGTTTAACCTTCTTGTATTAAAATTTATTTAAGTAGCTTTATAATATTTTACTAATTGATAAACGTTCAATATATTATTAAAACCACCCTTATTTTTATATTCATAAATATTACTAATTATAATTAGTGAAAACCTAGATATATGTGAATTTTTTATTATTTTTTGGAACTCTCCATATAGAAGTTTGTTCAACTATATTAGAAACACTTATATGACCAGTATCTTCAACATATAATGCTATTGGTTTCCAAATATTTTTCTAATAAATATTATATGACCATATAACATTATGAAATTCATCATACAAAACTAATTTACCATCAATTTTCATTGTTAAATAAAAATTATTTATTTTATTTTCTGTATTAGTCTACCATATGGTAATAGTTTCTTTATATAATACAACATTACAATTTAAATGAACATGTAATGAGTACTGTTTATTTAAAGATTGAAGAAATTCTCCACTTAATAAATTAGAAAAGTATGAAAAATTGGATGTACTTTTAATGCATGCCTAAATAATATTCTGTAATCCCATAGTTAATCATCTCATGATCAATACGGATGTAATTATTACAAATTCTATCAAATTCAGCTCTTAATGTCAAACCTTCCCATGGAATAGTGTAATTTGGAGAGACGTAGATAGTTAGGAACATACAATTCAGAAGTCATAGTAGATAATAATATCCTAATACCATAATTGTGATAAACTCTTGTATCTAGTGTAAAATGGAACATCAACATCTATTCGATCTATAGCCTCTCTTATTGCTCTTAAAATGTTTCTTTTTGTAGATAATGAGAGATTTCTACGATTATCTCTCACAATACGAGCTGCTAAGATGTTGTCACTAAATATTATTAGCAAAACTAAAACATATTAGCTATTAATCATTATGATTTTTAGAGTTAAACTTACAGCTAATCTGTATTAATAGCCGTGGAACATATCAAACAACAGTTTACTATTTTGGACTTGTTAAAATATAAAACTATTTCTCTTAAAATAACAATTACTTTAGTTAGAAGTTAGAAATATATGCATGTAACAAGTGGAAGTTGTTACTGCAAAGACTATAAGAATATGAAGCATGTACCAAAAATGTACAACAGTCATTAAAAAATGTCTTGACCATTAAAATATTCAGTTTGTTAGATCTAGTTAAATCTGTAACTAGGGCTTCCAATTTCAACTATTTTAACGGTGTTATGACGTGGCGAGGCTGTTTTCTGTTGTTCAGGAAAGTTGGAACTCTTTGCCCAGTTTTGTTGGCTTTTAAGCATTCCTCCCTACCTAGGTTTTGGTTTTGCGCCATGGGATGCGCCAGCGACTACGAATGCGAGCTCTGCCGGAGCTCGTATTTCGGGGAATCTCCTGGCGGCGGAGGCGCGGCGGCGTCCAGCGCCTGCGATCCATCGTCGTGGATCAACCCCGGCGATGTCCGGCACTTGTATCGGATCGGGCGTGGCCAGTTTGGGGATGTGTTTCTCGCCAGCGCCAGATTTCAATCCCAGGAGCGCCAGGTCGCTGTGAAAATGCTGCCGCTCGTCGGCTCGGAGATGATCGAGACGGTGTTGAGGCGATTCGACGCCGCGCTCTTCGCGTGCCAGGGCCTCAAGGGCGTGAGCGTCCCTCTCGGGGTTTCGATGAAGAATGGCAAGGTGTGTGTTTCTTTAAGATCTTTCCATATAAGCTCTCTTCTCTATCGTGCTCTTCCAGGTTTGCATTCTATCACCTCTGTATGAAGGCTCCGTTGGTGGTCGATTGGCTCATCTCCCGGACAACAGGCTCTCGCTCTCGGAAGCTCTCAAGTAAGCTTTCTCCTAGATTTGAAAGAGAAAGAGAGCCTCTTTCTCTTTTCTGGCGTTGGAAACCCTTGACACTTCGCTCTCTCTCACGAACTTTACACAGGTATGCCACGGACATAGCCAAGGGTGTCCTCGAGCTCCATTCTAGCGGCGTTCTCTCGCTCAACTTAAAGCCTTGCAACTTTCTCCTCGACTCGAGCAACGACGCCTTCGTCGGAGACCACGCGCTCCCGCTGCTCTTCTCCGGATGCAAGAGCTTCCTGGATTTCAAGTTCTACATCGGAACTCCAAACTACATGGCGCCAGAGCAGTGGAGCGTGGAGACGAGGGGTCCGCTGGCGTTCGAGACGGACTCGTGGGGATACGCGTGCAGCATTGTGGAGATGGTCACAGGGAAGAGGCCGTGGGAAGACAAGACGCCCCAAGAGATTTACAACCTGGTGGTTTTGAAAGGTGACAGGCCCAGCGTCCCGTCCGAGTTACCAGCAGCGATACAACGGGTCTTGGAAGATTGCTTCGAGTATGACTACAGGAATCGGCCAGACTTCCGCCAAATCCTGGCGACTTTGACGAGGTAAAACTTGTTCTTTACACACCACCTTTGCTAACAAGTGTCGTTGCAGTCCTGGTTTGAAACGAGGCGACTGGATTCACGTCTACGACGAGCCGAGCAAGCAGACGAAGATCGGGCTGGTGATCGAAGAAGACGATTCCTTCGTCCAAGTGCGCCTGCCGAGACAGCAGATCCAATCCTATTCCTGCGAATCGAGGAAGCTCTGCCTGTGGAAGAACCCGCTGCAAGCCGGAGATCACGTCACAGTGAAGAAGTCGGCGAGGCGCGGCTGCTGGCGCTACACGCCGCACAACGCCGAGGGCGTGGTGGTGGAAGTTGACAGGGAAGAGATCGTGGTCCGGGTGAAGTTTTGCGGCTCGCAGGACCTCTGGGAAGGGAGCCCGGACGAGCTGGAGCTGGTCTCGTTTGGAATCACCGTCGGGGACTGGGTTCACAGGTTGACAAACGAGGATCACCACTACTCGGGCAGTCGGCCGTCCTGCGTCGGGATCGTTCACAGCATCCAACACGATGGAGAGCTGCAAGTCGCGTTCGTTGGCTGCGACATGCTCTGGACTGGAGTTCCAACCAGGCTCGCGAAGATCCAGCCGCTGAGAGTCGGGCAGATGGTGCGGCTAAGCTGCTGTGCTCGGGGAAGTCCGCGGTTTGAGTGGCCGTGCAAGGAGAGGAGCGGCCGGATCACCAGGATAATGCCCAACGGCTGCCTGGTTCTCTCGTCGAGCAGCTGGAAGTCGAAGGAGCGGTGGTTTGGAGATCCGGCACAGGTGGAACTGATCGAGAGGAAAAAGTACCGCCGCACTGGAAACGATCTCCTGTCGAGCTTGCACTGGGGTCTGATGAATCCGATGGTGTTTGCGCTGGGAGTGCTGGCAGGAGTTTTGCTCGGAAACTCGATTCTACAATCGAACGCTGCTGCTGCTGCCTCGAGCTGCGATGGAAGAAGCTACTGGGACCACGAGATCCTGATCACGTACCCGGAGGGCTACAGTTCTTCTCTTACGGAGCCAGCTTCTCTTCCGTCGCCACCATCGCCGGGATGGGTGGTGAGAACGTTTAATCGATTTGTTGCTCATCTAGCAGAGAGTGCCGATGATTTCCTTCATTGACAAAGAAAAAGAAAAGCTAACTGTCATTAGTACGCGAAGAAAGACTTGAATCTATAGAGGAAGAAAAAAAACGCATAGACCATTAAGAAGAGCAAAGAGCTTCTACTGCCAAGAACTTTTCTCGGACCCCGGGACACGCGGAAATGGTGAAGTCGGGAGCCAAGCTGCAGCTTCTCTGTCCAACGCAAGCCTGGAATCCAAATGAGAGAAAACTTAGCTATGAAACAGCGAAAGTAAATGAGCAAACCTTCTCCACTGTGTTGGATAGATCGTTCGTGTGACAGCTTCCTTCCTTGAAACTCCCGCAACTTCCTTCGGGATTTCCCAAGCTGGCGAAACGTATCTGGGAGATGACTTGCTTTTCACCCGGGCACCAGAGCTTCACGGAAGCTGGATGGGACTCATAAACTCGTGCGCAGATCACGTTCGTGGATCTCGTCACGAAGTCTATGCTCGATGGATCACCACCGGTTTCTTCGAAAAGGACCAGAAGATTTCCTCTCGGCTTCATCCAAGAACGAGGGACGTGATACCTGGAAAACCAGAAAGGTTTACAAGGAATGAAAGGATGGCAAGGAGCACTTTGTTACCAGCGCTGAGATGACTGTCCGCAGCCTGTTAGGCATTTGTTTTGATCGTAGCTTCCACGATAGTCACAGCTCTCGGGGCAGACCGAGTCCGCAGCTTTATATGCTGGCCAGTATCGTCCAATGCTCTGTCCGTTCACCCACGCTTGACCTTTACCCATGCTCGCCAAATCCAATGCAACCGGATCATCTCCGGGTGGAGCATCGAATTCTGTCTGAAATTAAGGAAAAAAACATATTGAAGAAAGCTTCCACCAAAAACTTCAATGCTCTTATACTTACCATGTACCATGTCAGAGGCTTTTCTGTCGAGACCGCTGACCAGTTTACGCTACGAGAGCCTTCCACTGTGAAAAGTTTAAGATCTTCGCCTTTGAGACCGACCTGTTATTGCGGTTAGATAGAATGGAAGGTAATAGTTCAAAAAACCTGGTATGTCCACTCTTGCTTTGATAAATTCTGGTCTCCACCCGGAAGGCCCTTGAGTATCAGCGAACCGCTCAGGCCCGCACTCCAAGTCTCGATAAAGGCTCCAAAATTCTTGAAAGCATCCAAACTTTAGCATCCAAAAAGAGTTAGGAAATGGTAGCTTACTTGAAGGCCAACCGTAGCGCTCAGTAGTGCAATTGTATTTGAACCAGGAGCTAGCGTAATAGGTGCCTCCACCGAATTATATAGAACCGACTTACTAGTATGCCAAGAGCTTTGGAACTGTCCATTCACAAAAATGTGGACAACGTCCCTCATACTTTCAATGGAAAGCCATGTTGAACCAGTTCCCGTCGCCTCGACGCTGCAAACTTCCATATACACATGCTTTTACAGAAAGATAGCAACATACCTTGTCGTGTACCACAGATAATCACTCGTGTCTTTAGTCGTCTCCATTTGCTCCAGTAGCTGCTTAGCTTTGAAACTTGATCCCGAGATTCCTACAGGTTCATCGAATGATGTCCATGATAAGGTCGATTTTGAAGGACTCATGCTCACAACCGCAGATTGCGATTTCACCTGCGAGTACCTTAGAGGAAAAGAACAGAAGTAACAAAAAGAAGGCAGAACGAACCTTTGCGGAGTTGAATGCTACGGTTTTGCAATCAAGAAGAATGCTCACAGACCAAGCTGGCAGGGAGTAGGAAACGTTTCTAAACTCTACAACTGTGTCATTCATACTGTCGACGTTGGCAAGGAATGCCACACATCCGTTTCCATATGAATAGACATGGGCCTGCAACTTAGCTTGATAAGAAACACGAACATTCAAACTGAGAATTAACCTCTTGATTTGGACCGAGTTCACTATGCTGTCCTTCGCTTGACAAAATAACTTCTTCGCCCAGTTTTAGCGTCTCGTGAAGGTCCTTCAAGTGTCCCCACTTAGGAAGATGCTGCATGCCTTCAACTCAAAACAAAAACTTTTAAGCAACTCAACTTGAGCATGACTTTTACCATATTCATCTAAAGGTGCGTCGTAGTCATAGCTACTTGCAACATATGGACCGCCTGACGTCCTCCCAAAATTTGTTCCGCCAAAATACTACACGCATTTAGCACGATCAGTTTCGAGACGATGATATCAATACCCAGACCATGTAATAGTTGTGGAAGCTACCCCCGCGTTCAAAAAATCGTGCAACTGCGAAGGCAATGTCCTCCACAGGCCTGTGCGGAATTGGCCATCCATAATATGTGAACCTACAACCAAAAGACGGACATGCAAACAGCTACTAAGGAATAGAATGAGCTGTGCTCTACCAGCCAGTGTAGCTTTCAGTCCACATAGTTGGCTTCTTGTATAGAATTGGATTCCAGCCGTCGCAATACATTCCATTGCAGGTGTCAATCTGCACACAAGCAAGATACTTAGAATGTAAGAGACAAGATCAAGTTGCTAAAAATTACGATGTACTCGGGAACTTTAGACTGCGCACACATTATCCAAGGGACGCCTGTGTTTTGAGCTTGAGCCATCTCAGCTGCCCAGTTTATGTACCTCACACCAGCCTCCCCATAATGCGAATCAACGTTGCCGTATTCGTTTTCAACCTGAGCTAGAATTATAGGACCGCCTTGGGAAGCAAACAAGTTTTCTTCTTTCATCATGTTTACGATCTTTGTCAAGAAACTCTGCATATATTTCTGTAAGGTACCAGGTAGCATCAGTCAGGTTAGCAAAGAACGAAGCGAAATTTACTTTGAAAGGCTCGTTGTCTGTCCTGAAGACAATATGGGGAATGTCCCTTAGCCAGATGGGAAATCCTCTGTTCACACAGCAATTCTTCTCACTGAAGTCGAAAAAGAAAACGAAATGCTCAGTTACAACTTACCCGAGGTTCCATTCTGCACAAACGTATGGGCCGATCCGGAGATTCATAAGAAGCCCAGCTTGCTGCACGAGTTTCACGAATTTCACCAAGTCGTATCGACCCTCAAAGTAGTACTACATGAACAAAAGAGAACAACTTAGGAGAAAACTTGACAAGAAAAAACGATTGAAAAGCTCACCTGTCCTGGAGATGGTTCATGCCGATCCCAGAACACATACGTTTCAATCACATCCAGCCCACCTTCCTTTGCCTTCTGGATGATCCCCGGCCACATCTGATGTATCAAAAGAAGAAGTGAGCTTGGCAAATCTATTTAGCAATAGCAAAGAGCTGGCAGACCTCGGGTGTCGCTCGAGGATAGTGCACGGATCCAGACAGAAGAATCCTCCGTTTCCCATTCAGTATAAGCGATCGATGATCATAGGAAACGTTCTGCGCCGCGGAGAGCTGGAGCAGCAGCACCAGAGCAAGCGAGAGCAGCCACATTTTCTCCTTTCTTCGTCCTGGAGCTGCCGAGGGCCGATCTTAACTGCGAAAACTCTGCCAACGCTTGACTTGTGACCATCGTGTCGTATCTGTTGGCCTGAGTTTTCCATGGATAGCCCTTGTCGGTATCGCTCGCTCTCCTGAAACTGTCGATCAAGACACGCATTTTGGATCACGCAATCACACCTCTTGGCTTGAGCGGGGATACTCGCATCGATGGCAGCGGCGCCAGAAGAAACATCGCTGCCCGACAGCGGAAATATTGGCGACACCGGTACAAAAATCCCCTATTCTGTCAGGACGGAGGCGCGATTGCATCGAGGGAACCCTGTGCTTGAGAATCTATTCCCCGGCGCTCAAGAACCCTAGCATGCTTGGAATGCGCGCCAACATTCTAAAACCCTAGAGAATATTTTTTCCCCTTAACGAATATTCTTGTCAAGAGCCCTATAAAATGGGCAAATGGGCGGATTTTTAGGGTTTATGGCGGCTATGGAGCAGGCTATGGCGGATGGAGCGTTTGCCAGAAAGGGCGCCCAAGTTCCTGTGGCTCTCAAGGAAGCTGTTGGCGAGACGCTCGAGATGAGGAGGGTGATCACCGCGTTCCGGCGGGATTGCTTGCACTTTAGGGAGGGAGGCTTGCTGTACGAGATCGTGAAATCGTGGTATGACAAGCGCTACGCAGCCGAGCGTTGCACGGACTACCCCGAGGTTAGCTCCAATCTCTCTTTTTCTTGTTTATCTCACCCACGACGTTTATAGTCGCTGGAGCGGAGGACCCCTTACGCAGCGTTCAAGGGAGAACATCCTGAGTTGGCCGAGTGGTATGGAGAGCTCGATTTTTTGCTCCGAGAAATCCCCGTCGGGAACTTCGCCACCACTTTGCTGAACCTCCCTTTGGATTCGGGTAGGATTGATCTGCGCATGTTTCTTTGTTCTGAGCTCGGTCTTGTTAAAACAGGTGATGCCTCTCGCGCTCTCGAGCCCGACGGGATCCTCTCCCGGATAATCTCTCCGTGTCCCTTTCTCACGCACGGCGAGAACGTCGCTCTTGCCCTCCTCGACGCGAGGCTGTGGCTGTGCCGCTCTGCTCTGCCGCTGGCGATCGGGCAGGAAACGTCGTGTGAGTGTGATCGAATTCCTTTGTTGCAACTTTGTTGCAAGCTGACGCGTGAGTTCTTGCATGAAACAGACTGGGACGCATCGGGCGGTGGCGGTGGTGTTGTCTTGCCCAAGAGGCCGACTTTACCTTCAACGTTTTATGTTTTACTCCAGGAGTCGGCTGTGCAGGTGCACGCTACGCTCCTCAGGCATTCCAGCAACAGGGTGTACGAGCTGGCTCCGTCGGATTTCACAGACGACAAGCGGGAGTGCTTCTGGGCACGCATGGCTCGAGTGCGCTTCCCGCATGTTGACAACCGAGGGATGTCGAGCAGGGAGTTTGCCGCCACGCTCGCCCGCAGTAGCGCGGGAGAAGATCGCGACTTGGAATATTTGGAGTGCTGGCGGGAGGATGAAACGAGGGACATGTACAGGCTGTTGGCGATGTTCATCCATGATCGGTAAGTAGACTAGTTGTTTGGTTCCTCACTTGAGAATCTGTCTTTTGGTTTTCCAGGACACCTGAGATGCACGAAGAACAGATGGAAAAACTGGCCAAAGAAGAAGAGGAAGAGGAAGAGGAAGAAGAAGAAGTTGGGAGGTAAGACTTTCGACTGGCAAGACAAGCAGTTCTTCCAAATGACGGCAAGCCTGTGATCGAATCCAAACAACAGTGTGATATGAGTCGCCGTGAAGAAAAAAGCAAGTACCTTTCCAAAAGTTGCGGAAGCATTTCTTGGTCCGTGATCTTCTGTCGAGGCTGGCGAAGCTTTGGACCGCCACAGTTATCTCGGTCTCCAAGGCCTTCATCTTGTCTACGACGTCGGCTTCGCGCCTCTAGCGTCCAAGTTGCGAAGAAGCCTGCGCTTTCGTTCCAGCTCCGTAACAGACCTGAGAAGAAGAAAGCACAGAGAATAAGAGCTTAGTTCCAGATCGAAAGTAGAAGCATTGCCTTGACCTGTTCATACAATTTCTATCCTGTTCATAAAAAGTCTATCCAAAGTTCCAGCGTGACTCCCGGCCTCGATGTCAAATCCACTGGGCGAGCTCAGAGATCTCGGCGACCAATGCCCGAGCGAAAGAGCGCTCAGCAACCGGGACGAATGATCCGAGATGCACGATCATCGAACAAAGAATCATTATGAAACCATAGTTCCTTAACATCTCTTGAGCTGGACTTCGCCCGCCTCCAGTCCCACCACTGCACTCCACTGGAGCTCGCGGCGCCTCCTCCACCTCACTGTTCTCGGTCGATCCAATTGATTCTGCCGTATGAGTTGTAATCGCGCAATCTATGAGTGGAGCTCGTCGGAAGCTCTGAACTGGTCTTGAATATCCGGGACTTGCTGGAGCTGGACGTCGTTAAGTAGAACTTCCGATTAGTCCATCTTTCTTTCACGAAATTTATCCCCATGGTGCTGCTTTGTTGATCACATCCACGCCAGTTGTCGAAGAATACATGTGTGATGCCTTTGATGTACGCTTTACAAGCTTTGTCCAGGAAGAACAGGGACATTGGACTTTATGTTATGTCAACATAAAGCATAACATCCGCTTCATGTTCAGGATGCTCTTGAAGTATCATGATGAGGAGGCGCTGTTGCAGTTTCCAAGGTAGTATAAGAATCATGCTAATATCTGGATGAACTATGTGAGAAAAGAAGATTTGCCTAGAGCCATACAACTAGGACCTTTGGGTTGGGGGTTCGAATCCCCCGAGTGGCGTCTTTGCCTTGTGTTGCATGGCAGCACCTTTTGCAGCTTCGGCATACAGGGGACTGTAGCCTACCGACACACGCAACATTCACATTTACTAAATGTACGGATACGCTGTAAGAACGTATTTTCTGCGAGGTCGACTCTCGCCCTCCATTCCAGTCTATGGATGCTCAAGACTACGTTTGTGGCGATACACTACAAGACGAGCTCTCTCGATCATGTTAAACACGAATTGGAACCGACATGAATTGGAACTCTACCCCTTCTGTAAACAAACGGATATGACCTTTCACCTTGATCTTGAAGTTGCTGGAGCAGCACGTCAACCTGGTGGCACACGGAGTGGTGATCCTGCTGGAGCTACGTGTACTTCGCGCTGAGCTGAGCTCTCCGGAGCCTCGAGCTGCTGAGCTTGCCAAAGATCAAAAAACATAACTCTAAAACTTGTATTTCTAAAATCTTCATATGCGATAAAAGTCCATTACTTTGATAACAATGTAGCTCGTTTTGTCAAACCAACTCACATGTTTTTCCTTGTTAGCTAAGAACTAGGCTTCCTTGCTGCTACCTGTGGAGCTGCCTCTAATGGATTCTAAAGCACTACAGCTTCTTATCCTCAGCTTGGTTTCAATTGGCCATTTCCCCAATTGCGGGACTTCTCAGTGCGATCGAGCTCATCTTCTCAAAGAATGCGTCCCGTGTGTGGCATCTGGCACTGTTCTTGAGCATCCCGACGTCAATTGTTGCAAAGCAGTGAATGCTCTCGGCCACAACTGCTTGTGTTCACTCATTGTTTCTTCTACTGGTGTTCTTGCCAAAACAACAATGAAGAGATATGTAGAGTCCTGTCAAGTAGTGCCCCCAGAGGATTACCAATGTAAGTTCTATGATCAAAGTGTTTGTAGTCACTAAAATTTGTTATGCTATTGTTCTTTGCAGGTGAAGGCATCATGTAATGTAAGTATGGATACATGTATACTTTCTAGTTATATACGTATTTCTATGCAAGTTGAATTTTAATTTCAACCTGTACCATTCTTATTATAAACTTAAGACCATTTGGTTCACTAGATTTTTAGAAAACTTGCACAGAATTAACTTTTGGCTTTTGTATAAATCTCAAAGAAATTCTCAACATAAAACATCAATTCATCAATCCATTTTTTAATGGCAACTTCAGTCGTGTTTTGCTTCGTTCTCTGCTCCTTTCTGGTTCAAGTTAGTGTGGGTTTGCTTGTACAATATGGCTCCACCACAGTCGGGAATGGCAACTTCGTCTCATTGAGCAGCACTGGTTCAGCCCCTACAGTTGACATTGAAGGATTTGGGAAGAATGGCACTACTCGTCTCTTCTCGGTGGTCATGGCAGATCAAAAGGCATTGGTAGCGTCAAATAAAGTTTATCCCTACATCAACTTTTGGATTGCAAACATTCCAGCCGGCAGCACTGGTAAGTAATATTTATTTTGGTTTACAAATCTTTACAAGTCATGGTGGCTTGGTACAGGAGCTGTGAAGGGCAGCATTTTGGAGCCTTATGTATCTCCTTCCAACACCAGCAAGAACATTCCATATCCAAATCCATTCAATGCAAGGAACCACACCTATGATTTCGTGCTTGTACCACAGAGGAATCCCTTGGTGAAGCCCATGGATAGTCGACTTGTCAACTCGCTAGCTGATATCGTTCAGCAATACCACTGTGGAAGCCCTCTCCAAACCGTCTCCTTCACGACCTCACTCCATTGATATTATTGTTTTTATTGATATAAGAGGCATGACTCAATGAATTGAACGTACTAGAATTTCCATTTATGGAAAAAGGCCATCTTTCTTTTGCGAAGTTTATCCTCATGGTGCTGCTTGTGATGATCCTGTTGATCACGTCCACGCCAAGAGTCCATTCTATGTGTTGTAATTGTGCAATCTGCGAGTGGATCTCATCGGAAGCTCTGAACTGGTCTTGAATATCCGGGACTTGCTGGAGCTGGACGTTGTTAAGTAGAAGTTTTAGCCCCATGGGCTTTGTTGATCAAATCCCACGCCAAGAGTGCATTCCATAAACGTCTCTTCTTGTCGAAGAATACATGTGATGCCTTTGATGTACTCTTACAAGCTTTGTCTAGGAAGAATAGGGACATTGGGCGCTTGTCAGCATAAAGCGTTCAGGATGCTCTCCTCACGCTGCCAGGACAAACTGGCCAAAGAAGAAGAGGAAGAAGAAGAAGTTGGGAGGTAAGACTTTCGACTGGCAAGACAAGTAGTTCTTCCAAATGACGGCAAGCCTGTGATCGAATCCAAACAACAATGTGATGTGAGTTGCCGTGACGAAAAACGCAAGTACCTTTCCAAAAGTTGCGGAAGCATTTCTTGGTCCGTGATCTTCTGTCGAGGCTGGCGAAGCTTTGGACCGCCACAGTTATCTCGGTCTCCAAGGCCTTCATACTTGCTCTCGTCTTGTCTACGACGTCCAGCTCCGTACCAGACCTGAGAAGAAGAAAGCACAGAGAATAAGAGCTTAGTTCCAGATCGAAGTAGAAGCATCACCTTGACCTTGACTTGTTCATACAATTTCGTAAAGTCTATCAGCATGACTACTCCCAGCCTCGATGTCAAATCCACTGGGCGAGCTCAGGGATCTCGGCGACCAATGCCCGAGCGAAAGAGCGCTCAGCAACCGGGACGAATGATCCGAAATGCACGATCATCGAACAAAGAAAGAAAAAACTCAACCTTATGAAACCATAGTTGTCTTGAGCTGGTCCAGTCCCACCACTGCACTCACTGGAGCTCGCGGCGCCTCCTCCACCTCACTGTTATCGGTCGATCCAATTGATTCTACAGCGGCCACATTCTCTTTCCTGGATTGACACTAGAATCCACTCCGCGCCCAAAATTTCCTTTCTAGCGGGAAATATATGTAGAAGCAAGAACCCTACTTAACAATCCACTAACTTTTAAACGGAAACTTTCTCTTAGCAAAAATCGTTCTTAGTGGGTGGAATGGAAAAAAAAAATTAGTTTGTCGACTTCCTCCATCTTGCTCCCCTCGGCATCGTTCCCTTCCTCGAGCGGCGTCATCTCAACGTCGGCGGCATCGCCCCAGCTGGAGACCAGAGAAGACTTGAATATCTATCTATCTGCTGAGCTATGGTCACGAGGGAAGAGACTTCGATCGTCAATTTTCCTTCGCACTTCGGCCATTTTCGCTATAATTGGCGAAAGACTATGGGCAAAAGTTGGGTTTGGGCATGCAATGTACAGTTGTTTGACTAAGCAAGTTGCAACAACCTAAGAGAGAGTGACAAAGGTTCTTATTTCCTACTGGTCCGAGTAAAATATTTCGCTTGTATTTTAAAAATCTTCATATGCGATAAAAGTCCATTACTTTGATTACAATGTAGCTCGTTTTGTCAAACAATCTCACATGTTTGTACTTGTTATAGGCTTCCTTGCTGCTACCTGTGGAGTTGCCTCTAATGGATTCTAAAGCACTACAGCTTCTTGTCCTCAGCTTCGTTTCAATTGGCCATTTACCCAATTGGGGGACTTCTCAGTGCGATCGAGCTCATCTTCTCAAAGAATGCGTCCCGTGTGTGGCATCTGGCACTGTTCTTGAGCATCCCGACGTCAATTGTTGCAAAGCAGTGGATGTTCTAGGCCACAACTGCTTGTGTTCACTCATTGTTTCTTCTACTGGTGTTCTTGCCAAAGAAACAATGAAGAGATATGTAGAGTCCTGTCAAGTAGTGCTCCCAGAGGATTACCAATGTAAGTTCTATGATCAAAGTGTTTGTAGTCACTAAAATTTGTTATGCTTTTGTTCTTTGCAGGTGAAGGCATCATGTAAGGGAAGTTGTGTATGTATTTATATGCAAATACTTTCTAGTTATATACGTATTTATATGCAAGTTTGTTCTTGGTGTTTTCTAATTTCAGCCTATACCATTCTTATTATAAACTTAAGAGCATTTGGTTCACTAGAATTTTAGAAAGCTTGCACAATTTATCAAAGGCATGGACAGAATTAACTATGGCCTTTTGTATAAATCTCAAAGAAATTCTCAACATAAAACATCAATTCATCAATCCATTTTTTAATGGCAACTTCAGTGGTGTTTTGCTTCGTTCTCTGCTTCTTTCTGATTCAAGTTAGTGTGGGTTTGCTTGTACAATATGGCTCCACCACTGTCGGGAATGGCAACTTCGTCTCATTGAGCAGCACTGATTCTGCCCCTACAGTTGACATTGAAGGATTTGGGAAGAATGGCACTACTCGTCTCTTCT